ATTTATGCCGATTGAATATATCATTTAAATAAAAGTTTATACGCCATACAATTTATGCCGATTGAATATATCATTTAAATAAAAGTTTGACGCCATACAATTTATGCCGATTGAATATATCATTTAAATAATAGTTTATACGCCATACAATTTATGCCGATTGAATATATCATTTAAATAAAAGTTTATACGCCATACAATTTATGCCGATTGAATATATCATTTCAAAAACATTTGTACCCAAATACAATTGATCCTGATTGACTATATCATTTCAAAAAAAAAAAAACGTTTGTACACTATACAATTTATGCTGATTGAATAGATTGGACTCAGTGGTACACGGGGATCATTTTGCAGTTTTAACCAATCATTATATATTTCGTACAAAGTTGTCGACGTCACACGACGAAGGAGATCTTTAGCACGTGTCCGTATATCTGGCGTTATTTCTCTGAAGGTAGGTTTCCAAGAAACTTGGTTTTCATATACACGGTGTTTCCCATTGCTTTTCTTCTAACAGAAACAGCACATTCTTGAAACTTTTCTACAGCCTCTTCTGCATTATCGGTTAATAAAGAACCCTTTGTACGTGAACTTTCGTAATTAAATACTCTGCTGTAAAGTAAGCATGAATTATTGTACACAAATGAGGCAGACGATTGCAAAACCGTACATGTTGAACTGCGGAGATGTTTGTGTAATAAGAGTACGTTTGCATATTTCCCACAATTTGGCATATAAAAGTTTAAGTACTCAACATAGTTGCTGAATAAAATATTCTATACAAAAAGTACAAAGAAACAAGAGTATTGAAACGATTTAGTATTTTATTTTGTCATAATATGACTACATGCAGAAAAGAACACTCTGAAATGATAATCAAATTAAAGGTTTTGGTGACACACGAGGAATACCGAGAATAAAGATGGAATAATGGTTTCATTGACAATTAAAGTTTGTCAGTTATTTCTAAAAGTTCCCGGTAGGCATGAACGTGCATATCTTTGAAAAACTCAGAATAGAAGAGTCAGACAATAAGATAGTAAGTATAAGACAATTCGTAGTATAGTAACTGCTTATACTTAATTTCGTATCTGTTTTTGTTTTTATACAGTTAACCATGCATCTGTAAGTTACGAGCAGGCTTCGTTGAAATACGTTTCTCTTATATCTATCCAGAAAGCACTTTTTATTGCTCCTCTAATTACGTTAACTAACTCGATAAACCAGATAACCAATCCACGTCACTCTAGAGTTAATGACACAACCCAGAATTATTCGGTACACAGCGGTTTAACGAACGGCCTAATGACTCAAAAGAAGGTGTGGAAACGGTCAGTGTTTATGGATGTTTCTTCAAAGTGCATTTTACATGTTTTTAAAGCTGAAAAAAATTTTCAGCTCGCGCTTAGTAATATCATTTTCATCATTCTAATGACCAAAAAAATACAGGCTGAAAATGAGTTTTTGAAAGCTAATTTCACATCGGTTTAAAATAGGAAATTTTAAACTTTAATTCACAACTACAATGAATTATTTCGAGCATGTATTGTATAATAATAGTCTCACGCCACCAATTTTTTCACAGAAAAAAGGCGCCATCTCATGAGAAACACTGAAAATATGTCCACCCAAGGACAAATCTTAGACACGCTCTTCTGTTTATTTTCCTGGAATTTTGAGTTACGGCAGCCACAATCACGTTTCATCGGCAAACACAAGTTTTTTGTTATTTTTTTTCTTAAACATTTATCCATTTCCGCTTCAAGAGTAAAAATCAGTAAAATTTACAAACACGTACAAATCTAGCTCTGACTTATTTACTTTACACTACTAGCGATAAAAAAACAAACAAATAAAACGGAAAAAGATACATCCGATCCGGAAGAGTAAATAACTGTCGGTACACACAACTTACTAATAGAACGGAAGCTACGGATAGTTGTTCTAGGTATGAACAGTTCCAATAAAGGAAAACCTTAACATAAAATTGAAATTAACTTGTAATAAAAACAACAGCAATATTCTGCGACATGAATAAATCATAAATAATTACTAACAAACATCTATATGCAACTAATAAATGATATTGATGTGACTAAATGTAACTAAAAAATTTAATATTCAAAATTTTCAAGATACCAACTCCAACTAATGCAACGAAAAAGTTGAATTATAATTACAAGAACTTGAAAGTGGAAATGAAAAGTAAAGAAGAGTGTAACAATATGTCAACCAAATGATGTCTTATATTTATTATATATTTTTACTTTTCACAAACATTTTCTCAGACAGTGGCCAAACAACATGGACCAGTCAAATCAGTTCATTAAATTTAAAGTTTTGTTTGTTCGTACAAATGTGCACAATGGGCTATCTATGCTGTGTCCATCGCATGGATCGAACTCAAAATTTTAACAACGATAGTATTAAAAATACAGACAAGAGTATAAATAGATAGGCAAAACAAAAATACAAAAAGATATAAGCATGGAATATTTGGTTATTTAGCCGATGCAAATAGTAAATACGCAATGAATTAAACATTATGATGAATGTAAAATGATGTAATCAGGAGTTATCCATTTATTTAGTCTCATTTTAAATGATCACAAAATTATTCGGTTATTTAGTTTCACTGTGGAGTGAATACATAATGGTATAACTAGGGGCTATTCGTTCTGTAGCTTCACTGTATAGTGAATATATAATGGTATAACTAGGGGCTATTCGTTCTGTAGCTTCAATGTATAGTGAATATATAATGGTATAACCAGGGATTATTCGTTCTGTAGCTTCAATGTATAGTGAATATATAATGGTATAACTAGAGGCTATTCGTTCTGTAGCTTCACTGTATAGTGAATATATAATGGTATAACTAGGGATTATTCGTTCTGTAGCTTCAATGTATAGTGAATATATAATG